GGGTGGCCCTCCTCTGGACCCTCTCAATGTTGTCCACATCCCTCCTGAAGTGGGGCACGCAGAACTGGACAGTACTCCAGCTGTAGCCTGACCAGTGTTGCTTAGAGGGGGAGGATCACCTCCTTGGCCCTACTTGAGATGCACCTGTGGATGCACAACAAGGTCCAGTTAGCCCTGCCAACCGTGACCTCACGTTGTTGGCCCATGTTCATCTTGGAGTCAATAATGACTCCAAGACCCCTTTCTGCCTCCGTGCTCTCAGGAAGGGAGTTTCCCATCTTATAAGTGTGCTGCTGGTTAGTACTGCCCAAGTGCAGCACCCTGCACTTGTCAGTGTTGAAGCGCATCCTGTTTTTGCTAGCCCACCCCTGTAACCTATCCAAGTCTTGCTGCAGTCTTTCCCTCCCTACTGGTGTGCTCACCTCACCCCAAATTTTGGTATCATCAGCGAATTTAAACAGGTTGCTTTTCACCCCGTTGTCCAAATCGCTGATAAAGAGATTGAACAGTGTGGGCCCACGGACCAAGCCCTGGGGGACTCCGCTGCCCACTTCTCCCCAGGTTGAATATGACACCTTTGCAGCCTTACCCATCCCTTAGGAGCAATAATACTATGCATTAGGAGTGTGCAAAGCGGGCCCTATTGGATTCAGATTTGGCCTGGATAAGGGACAGTGATTTGATTCGGATCACGGTCCCCGATTCTATTTGGCCGAATCCAAATCTGAAGATTTAATGCCAATTCAGAGAATCAGTGATTTGGACATGGTCACAGCTTTAAAAGTTTTTTCTATGTTCCTTGAGGTAGCAAATGTGGCTCATGATCACTGCGATGCTGGTGTGCATGGAACATCCCACAGGAGTGCGAGGGGGTCCACCATGTGCTCGGCAGTGAACCTGGAAGTGGACTGGAAATACTTCTGGTCCACTTCTGGGTCTGCTAGGGAGCATGCTTAAGGAGACGATCCTCCAAGCCCAAAGGGAGGTAATCCCAACACGGATCAAAGGGGGCAGGAGGGCACAAAAGCCCCCATGGCTCACCAAAAGCATCCGGGAACGTATCCTAGCTAAAAGGGAGGCGTACATCCAATGGCAGGGAGGGGCCATCACCAGGGATGGCTATGCTGCGGCTGCTCGGGGATGCAGGGGGGCAGTCAGGAAGGCC